ATATATAAACATTATAATTGATTTATACAATTGGAATCAATAAACAAAAAATTCAGATAAAATAAAAAATTGGAGTCAATGAAGCATATTAATCGACTATGATGTGAAGCGCAGTCGATTAAGAATCTCCTACTAAAAATAACAAATCACAACAGCAAAAAAATGCAAAATCAACTACATATTACAAAAACAAAAAATATACAAATATTATAAATGATTTATACAATTGAAATCAATAAACAACAAATCCAAAAAAAGTAAAAAAAACTGGAGTCGATCAACCTTAATCGACTACCAGAACATAGTCGATTAGCTTAATCGACTATGAACATGTACATAGTCGATTAAGGTTTCAGCATGCACGAAATTCTCTACACGCGCCGTCATCCGTCCGATCCACAAAAAAACCCAAAATCAGCCTCCCCATCGTCACCACACCACCTAGAGCTCCTGCCATGGCCGAACACGTCAGTTTCTTGAACATGTTCAGCTCCACCAATGAAGCAACATCATTCTTGAGCACCTTCTTCACAATCTCCTCATCGATGAATGGTCTCGCACACAATCGATTTTCCCATCCATTCAATCCAGTTCACTGCAGCAGGTTTCTTGTCCGAACAATAGTTGTCTGAGATTCCGATAACGTCCATGTCAGGGAACTCGTGGTTGAGGAAGTCTATGACATTATGGACACCTTTAGAGACCATGTTCATCCCCATGGCATCCCATGTGCTGCAAATGAACCTCATATACAGGTATACCGAAGAAGCCGAGGAGATAGATAAAAGAGGCAACGAAGGTGACGATGGTTGCGATCTTAGAGAGGGTGACGACGTGGAGGGGGGTGGAGTTACGGATTTTCTCTCGCCATCGGAGGAGAAAATAATAAACGACGGAGAAGAAGAGAGTGAAGAAGACGGCATTGGTGAGGTATAGAGGGAGAGGGATTGGTGGTGGTGAGGGGCAGAAATGGAGAATTTGGGAGAGAAAGGAATCAATGGGTCAGTGGAGCGTGAGGAAAAATGAGAGAGAAATTAAGGTTTCAAAATAGTACATTGACAATTAAGGGTATATTTGGAATTATAAAAATAATATTTAGTTAAATACTAACTAAGGGAGTTTTTTCTAAGGGATAGTTAGCATTACCCCCCTCATCTAGGTAAATGAGTTAAGAAAACCCCCCCTTCCAAAAATAATTAGAGAAAACCCCCTTACCTAATCTCCTACCCAAATATTATTTAATAATTCCCAAACTACCCTTCTCCCCAATGAAATGCAGCAACAGTTCTGAACAATTAATCGATCATACTTTTCAATCACAAAAAACATTATAAAAAAAAAAAAAAAAAAGTACCGGAAAGAGAGAGTTCGTGGGAGACCAATAGAACAAGTTTCGATTTCATGAAACTGAGGGGATTTTTTTCTTTCTCAGCAGCGCCGCCGTCAGGCGGACGAGTGAATCGGAGTGTTGAAATTGTTGGTGGTGTCGGAGTAATCGTGGGAGTTGCAGGAACTGAACGAAGCTCCGATGAAGAAGGCAATGGCGGTGGAGAAGGCGATGCAGAGTAATACCATCAACGGCAGTTGGGCGATATTATTGACGGGGGCGCGGCGGCGGAGATTGACGGAGGGGAAGCCCGGGAAAGGAATCCGGACTGAGTTGAGACCCTCGAGTTCTGGTTTGGGGATTTAGTTTTTGGAATTCATTTCTGATTTATTTAAACTTTTTAACTGCTGCATATAATATCATTTCTTGCGGTTAAAGGAAATAAATGCATATTTAATTGATTTGTTTTATTGCGATGGGTCTGTTGGTGCGGCGGTTTTGGGTGGAGGATTGCGATGGGTCTTCTGGCGGCGACGGTTTTGGGTGGAAGATTGCGATGGCTTTGCTGAATTCGCGCAGAAAAAGAAATTCGCGGAGGGCCTTAATCGACTACGTGTGTTTAATCGACTATGTCAATAGTCGATTAAGGCTTAATCGACTATGTTCGGTAGTCGATTAAGGTTAACCGACTCCAGTTGTTAATTTTTTTTTTTTTTTTTTTTTTGATTTTTTGTTTATTGATTCCAATGTATAAATCAATTACAATGTTTGTATATTTTTTTTTTTTTAAATATAGTTGATTTTGCATTTTTTTGTAATTATGATTTGTTATTTTTAATAGCTAAAATTTTAATCGACTATCCATTAATGAACCTGATAGAGAAAAAAATTAAAAAAACCAAAAAAAAAAAAAAAAAATTAGAAACAAAAAAAAAAATTAAAAAATTAAAGATTTTCCTTAATCGACTATGAAGCATAGTCGATTTAAGACTAATCGACTATGCTTCATAGTCGATTAAAAAAACGGAAAAAAAAAAAAAAATCGCTGGAGCGCGTGCCCAGCTGTGATGAGGTGGCGGGCGGGGTAAAGCTGGGAAACACAATGGCTGAATTGGATCATGGGCTTTTCTCAAATGGTCTAAAATATTTTGGGCCTCCCTCAATTAAAAAAAATAGTGAGGGGGTTTTCTCAAAGAGCCCCTTTTTCTAATTATTTTTTGAAGGGGATTTTGCTTAACTACATTTACTAAATGAAGGATTTTTTACTAATTTTCCCATATATAAACGCCAACAAGTACGAGTATGGACCATGTAGCAAATTATAAATCTACGACATATTAAAATTATTGCCACCTTTCAGACTAATTTAAGTCAGACTTCTTAAAGTCAAAATTATTAAGTTAGGCCTAACATAGTAACATATCTATAACCATGCATATATTAATTAACGTGGAATTTAAATGATGGTGGGTATATATACACATGTTAATTTGCGAACCACAGTTTAACCGTCTGAAATATAATCTTCCGTCGCTAAATTCTATTAAATTTAGTGAAATATTAAATTATCAAATTAATAATTTAGTATATTTTTTTTTTACGAATTCGAATCGAAAAAAAATTATATAAATAAAATTATTAATTTATTGAATTTCTACAATAGTCCGTAATCATAGTTTAGTTGGTATAATAAAAGAGATATATAGCTGAGAGATTAAATATGTCTAAGAGGGGGTTGAATTAGGCTTTTCAAAACTTTTTAATATTTTTACAGATTTAAATATCGATTAAATTATTTCTAGAAAAATATATTTTTCTTTGATAATAAAATATTTCAAGTAATAAATATTTTGCAAACTTCCAAATTAATGTCAAATTAAGTTTTAGCAATAAACAATATATGAGAGGAAATTTGAATACGATAAAATAAAGTGCGTAAAGTAAATGACATCAAATTTATAGTGGTTCGGAGAAATTCCCCTACTCCACTCTTCTAGGCCCTCGAACTTTTATTCCACGTGCCTCCAAAATCCTTGGATTCCCCACACGAAAAAAGATGTGCTTACAAAACTCTAACGACTTTCACCAACGATGTGCTTACAAGGGACTCACTCTTTCGCACTTATCAATACGTACTTACAAGAGACTAACTCTTTCGCACTCAACAAAAATCTCACATCAAAGAAATGCTCTCTAAGAGCTTTACAAAATCCCTCTCAAGATATATAATGAAACAAGTGATAAGCAAGAGGAGAATTTCGAAGTTCCTAATAAGTTAATGACTCTCTATAAGCTCTTTTCGAAATTGGCTTGGAATGAATGAAGCTTGAATGAATGATCCACTATTTATAGGTGAAGCTCTTCATCACTAGAAATGGAGGAATCAATCTTTAATCTCTTGATTGATTTGATGATGAGTGTGATTGATCTCCAGCTGATTGAGTTCAATTAAATCACTTGAATATGGTAAGCATTTGAATTTTGAAACTCAAAAGGAGTGTTCTTTCTTCAAAAACAATTTTCAGCAAAGCATCTTCCAGCCACCTTCAACAACTTCCGGGGCAGACTGTCTAACTTCCGAACAACTTATATTTTTTGAATCTTTGATTGAGGATTGATTTAAAATCTTTCCAAGTCCGAAAATATGGTTCTCAATCAGTTTACATAAAAAAAGTTTTTCAAACTATTCAAATAATTTTAAATATTCAACCATTTTCCAAAGATAGAAAATCTTGAATTTCAAAAAACCTTTTGCCTCAAAAATCTATATTAAGTTGAATAACAGAAAATCTCATGAATATTTTATTTCAAATCTCAGTTGACCCCTTTTCAAATAATTTTCAAATAAAAAGGATTTATTTTCGAAAATAAATTATCATTTTATAAAGGGATAATTTTCGAAAATAAAGACCAAATAAATTGGGCTTAATATTTGATCCAAGAAAAAAGAATTTGGACCAAGACTAGGAAGTCGTGTGGAGGATCGTTCGGATCTCATTCTCGGGATAGTTCAAGGACACTAGGCCTCTTATTGATTATGTGATCACTCCGGTCTTGATTAATTTCGTCTTGAAAAACATAACTCAAAAAAAATACTATTAGATCAAATCAATTGTTTGTAAATCATCACATTCGAAAGTAACCTTTCGGCTAACAATAACATCTGATAATCCAAGTTCAATTTTTTTTACGACCAATAATGTTTTTACTATGGGACAATCTTGGAAGCGTGGTAAATGCTAGAATTTTACCGTAGCATTTGCTACGGCCATTTAGCGTAGCAAATTTATGTCATGCTCAGGGGCGGACCCAAGGTATGCCTTAGGGGGCCCACGCCCCTGCAGGAAATTCTTCTTTTTTACCTTTTTTTTATTATATTTTTAATAATTTGTGTTATTTATCTATTAATATATACTCTTTAGCCCCCAAATTTGGTACCACTTTAGCCCAAAAAAAATTCTAGCCCCCTCATCCAATACCCCTGGGTCCGCCCCAGGGTACACCTGTATATACTACAGGGCAAATTCATTTCATATGCATTGCAAAAGTCTTTTTAGTACAAATTTAATATCTTTTGCTACGACTAATGATCGTAGTAAAAAACCATTTTTTTACTAGTGTCGTTGTATACCCGTCAAATGTTTACAAGCTCAATGGAAAACAAAAACATAAATGATCATAAAAAGTAATTTATTTTATTGATTCTTGCAAAGGGAAATCCGTCCTTTGTACATACTAATAACTAGTCCATATAATGGACGTTTATTTCACATGAATGCATGCATGTATTAGATAATAGGTATTCTAATTCAATCGGGAATGTTGAATATTTCACATATTATATAAAGCCTTAATTCCTTGAATATCATCTGTATTCAACTTGATCTTAGCCTGTCCTGCTGAGACTGAAGGGTACATAATCGCAGCCTGTATGGAGCTATGCCCAAGCCCAAGGAGGTGCCCAATTTCATGTAGTGCCACAGTTTCCAAGTGGAAAGTATTTGCGACGGGGTCGACGGACCACCTCTCGTCCGCATCGTAATGAAGCCTCCCATTGGTTGGAGCGAACGCATGGGCTAGGGTGCCGCCCGGGCCGTCGAACGAGGCCCCATCTCCGTGGTTCCCACGTAGAAACCCTATGGTCAGATCAGGGGTTTGACCGCTGGAAGCCCGTTTGAAAGTGAAGTGGGTGGCGTTGTCCCAGTTTTGAAAGGCCCGCTCTGCAGGGGCGACTGCGTTAGCGGGTACGTTGGACAAAAATCCGTAGGTTAGGTTATATTTGGAAGGCGGCCATTTAGGGTTTCCTGAAAAGAAAGTGTAGTGGGATACTGTATGGATATGTCCATACTGGTTGGTGCTCGGGCCCATCGTGTTTTCACCGTTGATGATGTCGGGGACCCCACATCGAGGGATGATCATTGTCGATACAGTTGTAGCGTCTAGTTTGCCGGTGGGGTTAATATTGAAATTTTGTTGGTAGGTTTTGATGGCGGACTCAAGGGCATCGTCAAATAGGTTATTGACTTGGGTGTTATTTAGGTTATCGAGATAACCAAAATTTTGGAGGTAGTTTTTTATTCCACTGATCCCTAAGGCTCTGTCACCCTTAACGGAACCTTGTAGTGGTTTGATGAAATCGAATGGTGACAGTATTTCGTCAAGCGGTATCACCCTCAGGGCATAGCCAATAGGAGAAATGCATATTAGGGAAATAAAAAAGATGGATAAAAGGTGTTGAATTGCCATCACTTCGTTAGCAATATCAAGAAACAAATTAAGAAGATTATGAAAGAAATTGGTTGTGAGATAATGTTATTTAGTACATCTCTTTTTATAGACATTTAGTTTTGTATTGAAATTAAAGAGTATGAGTTACAAAGATAGCCACCACCAGGGGCGAGTCCACCCAAGGGCTAGGGTGGACTCAAGCCCCCCCTCACTTCAAAATTTTTCCCTACTATATATATATATATATATATATATATATATATTCCTTTTTTTTTGTTTTTTTTTTGCCTACCTAATTATATTATTTTATCCACTTAGGGCTCGTTCGGTTTCCTATATTGGATTAGATTGGATTACATGAGATTAGATTAACTCCCTACTGACTAATTAATTAATTAGTTAGTAGCATGTTCGATTTCTTAGATTAGATTTTCTATTAAATTTGTTAAAATCGGTTATTATATATGAATTGTCTATAAAACCACTTAGTTTACAATAATAAAATATGATTTTAAGGATAAAACCGTCTTTTTCCTTTTTAGTCACCCCCTATTAAATTAATCTCAGGGGGAGGGGTGCTACTAATTTAATGAAATAGTAGCATCTAATAGCGGGCTTTGATTTTAGTAGCGGTTTCGAATAAGTGTGAATCTTGCCAACTGGACATGCTATTAGCCCCTACTATTTAGTCAGTAGAACCTTATAGCGGTAACCGAACGAGCCCTTACTTTTACTCTAGTTAAGTCCACTTATTCAAAGTCGTCTCACTTCTCAAAGCCCCCTTCATGTCTAACTTGTTTCGTCTTCTATTTCCCAACTTAGTTCTCGTTATTTGAAAAAGAAAAAAAAACTTTGTTCTATTGCATAGGCGCATTAATGGCGGTTAAATTGCTACCCACCGGCGATCGAACGTACACTGGCGATCAATTAACGTTTGATGTCTTTTCTTTCATCTTAAGAATATTAATTATAAGCCAATTGTGTAAATTTCATAATCGACTTGATATTCATGTTTCTTAGATTTTTATAGTAATTTAACTTTCGCGATTCGTTTTGGTATTATCTTACGAAAATAGAGAGAAAAAAAATTCAAATCAAATTTTCATCTTAAATTTCTTTGATAGCAAAAATTTTTTCGGGGGCTCTGCCCCCGAACCCCCGATATGTTTAAGCCCCCCCTCACAATTTTTTCTGGCCTCGCCACTGGCCACCACATCCACCACTTGTGCCTGAACTCAACGGGCAGCCACCACAACCACCAATTGTATTTGCTTTTAAATATAACTATCGATAGGATGAAAGAAGGCATATATACCAGAAAATATTAATAAGTTGTAATTTGTATTCCAATAATTATATTTAATGCTTTTTTTTAGAAATAAAAAGCGGAATAAATTAATTCCCGAGTACGTATAATTTTTCTTACGTATCTAGACGGGTTTCTCTTGTATTGATTGCTTTGAACAAAAGAATCGGAGATGTGCTTACTAGGTTAGCTAGGTACGGTTTATTTGATATATGCTACACCCAGTAAAATATATCGAGTGATTGTTAATCGTTGATCTGCACATAACCATAGACATTCATATGTATGTGTGCTTAGTATTAATATTAATCTTTATAGATGAAAGATATTGGAGATATTAATATTAAATGATACATTTCACTAACAGCTTAAGCTTTTGGTTGAGATGGTCATTCAACATGGTATCAGAGTCAGGCGAATGAAAAGGTCATGAGTTCGAATCCCACCGCCACCCATTTCAAATATCATGAGTTCGAATCCCATCGCCACCCATTTCAAATATTTGAAGTGCAAGGCTTCAAATGTAATTCGCCTGCATAAATTATTAAATTAATTTTCCACCATGTATAACTAATCTTATCTACATCGGTTTCCCTTGTATTAATTGCTTTGAATATCAGAAATCAGAGGTACGGTATTATTCACTAGATTAGATAAAGGTAGGCAACCCTAGAGAGAGATGATGATGAAATTTGTAAACCAATCCTCAATACAATTAAGGGTGTCACTAGATTAGATAAAGGGTCGGTAAACCGATTGAATCGAACTGAACTGAAAATTCGGTATGTATCAACTATCGAATAAAAAATTTGGTTCGGTAATCGGTAATTTTTTTTGGAATTCCGGTATTCAGTACGGTATACCGTATTGATGCCCGTTGTACCGTACCGCAACAAATAATGAAATATTTGATAAATATTTATTTATTTTTCTTTCTTTCTTTTTAACATCTTTAAGGTGATAACAAATTGTAAAGCACTTTTCGATTGATAAAAGTTTTTTCATTATGTACAAATTAGCCTCGATTGATAATTACCTTTTGCTTTAGTGTAGATTATTGAAATTTTTTTGAGTGTCAAATTCAAGAATTAATTAGTTTAAATATGTTATTTTTATATTTTTTTAAATACTATATATTTTCGTTTTACCGTTATTGAACCGAAAAAATCAAATAATTCGGTACTAAATGGTTCGGTTTGTAAACAGTAACAAAATTTTGATGTACCGAAATTTCGATTTATTAAAATTCCGGTACAGTTCGGTACGATACTATCGAATGAACAACCCAAATATTTATTGCTTTATTTTAGGATTTTATATCTGCCAATTTTTCAAAATCAAGTGGATGGTATTAGAAAAAGTTGAAACCTAAGAAAAATAAAATAATTTTTAACAATTTAGTTTTATATAAAATATTAAATTAAATATTTTTAATTAAAGAAAACAAGGAAAAATAATAAATCGACCGAACAAGTACAATAAGAAATTCACGAATTGTGAGTAAGAACCAAGGGCGAGACTGTAGGGGTGTAAACGAGCCGAGCTCGCCTCTTTTGGCTGGCTCGAGCTCGAGCTCGAGTTTATTTTGTCGAGCTCGAGCTCGAGCTCGAGCTCGCCGAGCTCCTCTTTTTTTGGCTCGAGCTCGAGCTCGTGTCAATTTTGTCGAGCTCGAGCTCGAGCCCATTGTCTTTTTTTTTTTTTTTTTTTTTTTTAAATATTTTTTTAATTATTATTTTATTATTAAAATTATTTAAAAAAATAAAAAATTAAAACTAAATTGTAATTATATATATTTTTAATATTTGTATTTATTTCTATAATATTTTACACTATTATACATTATTTAAATAAAAATAACATATAAAAAATAAAAATAAAAATAATAAAATAATAATAAATCCGGCTCGCGAGCCGGCTCGCGAGCTCATGAACAACTAAAAACCGGCTCGAGCTCGGCTCGTCAGAAAGCTCGAGCTCGAAAATTGCAAGTCCGAGTTCGAGCTTTTTACGAGCCGGGTCTTCGAGCTCACGAGTCGGCTCGGCTCGTTTACACCCCTAGGCGAGACCACCCTTGGAAAATGATAGACGCAAGCTCATCCTCAATCAAAAAATAATTCATTACATTATACCTATATATTTATTAAGTTTACCAATTTTTTATTATTTAGTGAACTTAAAATCCAAATTAATACAAAAAAAAGTCCTAAGTTTTTTTTAACATATCTTCTGATATTGTCAAAAAAAAAGATTAGGGGCATTTCCCATTAACCTTCGAAAATTTAAGTACACTATGTAACAATATCTTATACTCAGCTACTATTGGAACAACCATTGTTGTTATTAATTTATTACTTACATTATTTTTTTAATGTATATCCAACCCTCCAATATTGAAATTCTGACTTCGCCACTTACAAAACTTTTGATACCGGAGATATATCATATATCTACATCAATCAATTACATTGCTCCAAAATGAACCTTTCACAACAATTATTTTTTTTAATCATTAAAAAATACTAGTATTATATTATTATTTAAAAATAATGGATTTAGTACAGGGGTTCATACTACATAATGGATTTAAATAAAAGCTCAATGTAGAAACAAAATATAAAATTATCATAAAAAGTAATTTATTTTATTGATTCTTGCAAAGGGAAATCCGTCCTTTGCACATGCATGTATTGGATAATAGGTCTTCTAATTTTGAATATTTCACATGTTATATAAAGCTTTGATTCCTTGAATATCGTCTGCATTCAACTTGATCTTGGACGTTCCTGCTGAGACTGAAGGGTACATAATCGCAGCCTGTATGGAGCTATGCCCGAGC